CATCACATAATTGAGTTGAGTTGTATATATATATATTGTATTTCATTTAAAATCTCTCAATAATTTCTTTATACTTTAGAGGATTATTTTGGATTATCTGTGTTTTCCATGCATACTCATGCAGTAATTAACACATATAATCAGGAGTTCAGTGTATTAATTTTAAAATGTCCTGTTACAGGCATGAATGATAATTACTAAATTAATTCAAAAATAAAGTAACCTTTATTACTGTAGTTCCTTGATTCTAAGATACACTTTTTTTTTTTAAACCTTTTTTTCATTTTTCTAAAAGAGAAGTGCATTTTGGAATCAATAGTGTTTTAATTTGCTGTCCAAAACAAAAATTATTGCATACGGACTAAGTGATGCATCATGGTTAGAAATTTTTACTATACTGTTCAACAGTCATATCAGTTCAGACGAACTTCACTGGTAGCAAGCATTTAATTTAAACTATTTTTCAATGTTTAAAATATAGTATATTCTTAAAGACATTATTATGCAGCATTGAAAGAAAAGTGCAAAGTGCATTATTGTATAGCCATGTACAAAAGTGCATGGAAATAAAGTGATCAAACACATCCATGGCATTTGTATTTCTTTTCTAATTTATTCATTATTTTAAAAAGTTTACTATGATTTATTAAATATTTTTCTTTCAATAAAAAAACTTTTATAAAAATTTGACTACAAACTAATGGCACAGTATATCAGAATCAAAGATAATAAATAAGTAGCCTACAATAAAAGGTTGACTCTGCTGTGGAATTGTTATTACCTCAACAGTGTGTGAAGGGACTGAAAGAAATTGACTCATCTTGTATATATAGTCTCAAGAAATATAATTTTTTCTGTTAAAATATACTACACCAAACTTCAATTATCTGTGCATCATTAAAATATTTTGTCCATCTTGTCTATGGACAGCTTAATGAATGGGAAGTCATATACACATCATCAGTTTTCAAGAAATAGGTTTTCAAGCTCAGATGATGTTCCAATAAACAGTCTAAAATGTCCATGGAAATTGACTTCAATTTACAAGTGAAATGTTAGAAATTTACTGAAAGAATACACATGAAAAAAGAATCTTATTAGCCCTAAAATTATACTTTATGAACTATCAATAAACTTTCTGCTGGACAAAAAACACTTGAAAATAGTTTTCAAAACAGCTCCTAATTTATATAGTATTCTGAGAACTGATAAAGACAAACTTAAAAAAGAAGAAAAAGCAGGATTATACCGTCAACCCCCTATAACACTGTAGATACGTTCTGTTTTTTATGAATCCATTTTCTACGAGTCACAGCATGGCACATATGCAGTTTATGGACTATGACTGTTTGAAAGGTTTCTTCCATAAAATTAATCGATTCTAGACTAATTCGACTCAACATTTCCAAAATGCGTATAATTTTTTGGGAATAATCCATATAAACTATGCTATAAACAAAAAATTGTAGGATTACTTACCGAGCGTGCACTGTTCGACTACGCCATTGCTTAAGCTTGTTTTCAGCGTGGAGCTTGTCATTGGATGGCGCTCGCGTGCTTCCTGATAAATTATTTTTTTGCGAAAAATTCACCAAACTTTGGAGACATCATTAATATAAATATAATTTTTAAGGATGTTAAATAATAAATGGTTTTTAGTAGGTCCACTGCTCATTTAAACTCAATGGTTCGTACAATATCCGCTATTGGTCTAGATTCGACCAATCCTGTCGCGACACGAGTTGGCAATGACATTTTACTGAATTACACAAGTTTTTTTAGCATGTTTGTATGAATACTGTTGCAATTTTTTTGCTGTGATATAGGAATCAGAACTATAGGAACCCGTGTTATAGGAGGTCGACTATATTAAATTCCATTTGAAAATCAGCAATTAAGTATTAAGAAAGATTATATTGGGATCACAGGAAGGAATTTAACTATTAGATTTAAGGAGTACAAGTATGACATTAATAAAGAGTACTACAACATAGTTTTGTCCAGTATGGCACAAGTAGAGGACTCTGTAGTTAAATGGAATGAAGTGACTATCCTCTGGGCCATGCATTCCCCATTAGCAATGAACAAAGAAAAAATTTAAATCTATAAAAGTAAATTAAAGGATGGTTGTATTAATGCCAGGGATGTGGATGGACAACATACGGCCCGTCTAATGAATTTATGTGGCCGCGATTTATCTGTCAATATTAGCTACTTAAGTCCGAGTATCTTGAAGAAAAATTCTAATCTGACAGCTAAAAAAAGAAAAGAAAAAGAAAGGATCAACAAGTAACTGTGCGATTAGAGTTAACACTCCATTACAAATGTCTTCAGCACAGCTTAGAATGTTAATAATGCATGATAATGTGAAAAATGTATCTGTAATCTCTATGTACAATTTAGTCTCTACGGGGTGACATCACAATGAGATCTCGCACCACCTCAAAATCTTNATATGATTTTATGTCCTATAAACGTTTTTCTAGTGATATTACGACTTCAATATTTGTGGTGGACAGACGTAAAGTCGAATAAAATGACTTAAACTTGATTTTTATTTTTCCATATACTTTTTTGACATATGACGTATAATCGGGAACGACGTAAGTCGAGGTATGCCTGTAACTAGTGCTTTAAATGTTCTAATTGTTACAAGCAATAAGAAACAATTGTTATCAGTTGCATGAGGCTTATAGTTTACAGAAAATTATCCTGAAGTAAACAGACATTTTTAAGCTAGCTATAACTGAAATTCTTATAAAACTTTACTTATTCTAATCAATATAGTTCAACGTGTTATCACTTGTTTACATTTTTTGATACAATCTCACTGATTCAATAAACACAGATTTTACTGTTCACATTTACTGTTATCTTCTGTTTAACCACACAATGATTTCATATTAACAATTACTGCCTATTTGTAAACTTGTGTTGATTGAAATCTATACTAGAGGAAGCAAATGATGAAATTATTTTTATTTTAAGATTAACTTGTTTGGCTAGTAGTACAGAAAAAATTCATTCCCTGAAATCAAATTTTTTTTCTCATGAATGATTGCATAATTTTATTTTTTATTAAAATTACATATCATTAAAAACAAATAAAAATAAAAGCATTAATGAAGTAATTTTAAGCATTTCTTTTTAATTCTTGATTTAATTATAAAATGTAAAAGATGTTAGTTGCATGGAAGGAACAACTACAGCTATACACAAATATCGTCATGTAAACTCCGTAAAAATTTAATAAATATAATGGCAATACAATAATAAAATATAAAAATATTCACAAATTAGAATAAACAATAAATGTTTTCCTATCTTGTTTTTTTTTAACACCTCAGGAACAACACTCTCTAAAGGAGAGATTTTAAATTTAAATGTAAAAATGTTAAATTTTTGAAAACGTGTTCAAATTCGGTTACACCTGAAGATGGCCTATTGTATTAGGCTGAAAACATTTGTATTTTGTTTAATAAACATTCCTCAGCAACAGATGGTGTATTGATAGTTCATTAAGTATTTAAAAAGCTGAGTTTGATATTTGATTCCTAAAATTACAATACAGTAATTTAGAAAAAATGTAAGAATTATACATAGAAATGTAAAGTTTAAATTTCTACATATTTTTGAAAACAAAAAAATTTACATTTTGTGTGTTTATATATACATTTTGGCTTATGAAACTTGGGGCTCACACTTCATGAAATTAACACATCACATAATTGAGTTGAGTTGTATATATATATATTGTATTTCATTTAAAATCTCTCAATAATTTCTTTATACTTTAGAGGATTATTTTGGATTATCTGTGTTTTCCATGCATACTCATGCAGTAATTAACACATATAATCAGGAGTTCAGTGTATTAATTTTAAAATGTCCTGTTACAGGCATGAATGATAATTACTAAATTAATTCAAAAATAAAGTAACCTTTATTACTGTAGTTCCTTGATTCTAAGATACACTTTTTTTTTTTAAACCTTTTTTTCATTTTTCTAAAAGAGAAGTGCATTTTGGAATCAATAGTGTTTTAATTTGCTGTCCAAAACAAAAATTATTGCATACGGACTAAGTGATGCATCATGGTTAGAAATTTTTACTATACTGTTCAACAGTCATATCAGTTCAGACGAACTTCACTGGTAGCAAGCATTTAATTTAAACTATTTTTCAATGTTTAAAATATAGTATATTCTTAAAGACATTATTATGCAGCATTGAAAGAAAAGTGCAAAGTGCATTATTGTATAGCCATGTACAAAAGTGCATGGAAATAAAGTGATCAAACACATCCATGGCATTTGTATTTCTTTTCTAATTTATTCATTATTTTAAAAAGTTTACTATGATTTATTAAATATTTTTCTTTCAATAAAAAAACTTTTATAAAAATTTGACTACAAACTAATGGCACAGTATATCAGAATCAAAGAATATATTACAAAGTAATATCTATAAAATATAACTTCTGGAAATTAAACTATATTTCAGTTTTTTTTTAAATTCATAAGCCAAATTATTATCAATTTGACTTATAAATTTAAAAAAAAAAGCTGAAGTACAGTATATTATAATCTAAATTCCAGAAATACAATTAATATTCTAGAAAATAAAATTTTATTAAATAACTATTGAAATTTACCAAAACACATCCTATCCTCACAGTTCCTTTCCACAATATAGATTCATCAGTTCCTTTTTTCACAGCAAATAACAATAGAGATTTAGAATTGTTTGATCTTTCAGATATTTTTCTGCTCAAAGTCTGGCATCTGTAATTAATAAATGTAAAAAATATTTTAATGACAGCTGTAAGTATTACAAAATCTTTCTAATATCTGTATAAACACAGTATTTTGTAGTGATTTAAACCTAAATATTCTAATACTTATTTCATNCTGCATGATAATGTGAAAAATGTATCTGTAATCTCTATGTACAATTTAGTCTCTACGGGGTGACATCACAATGAGATCTCGCACCACCTCAAAATCTTACTAAGGCAGCCTCTGGTTCAGCCCATGAAAAAAGTTTTCTTTCCAATTCGGCCTGGGGGCAAAAACTGTTGGCCGCCCCTGGACTAGCATCTGCATGGAAATTCTACATAAAAGAAAAATTAAAATATAAAAATTCTTAGTCTGCACCTGTCCTTAATACTTGGATGCACTTTTTATTTATTTTATTATTTATTTGTTTAATTTAGCTAATATTTTCATTTTAAATTTAAATGTAAAAATGTTAAATTTTTGAAAACGTGTTCAAATTCGGTTACACCTGAAGATGGCCTATTGTATTAGGCTGAAAACATTTGTATTTTGTTTAATAAACATTCCTCAGCAACAGATGGTGTATTGATAGTTCATTAAGTATTTAAAAAGCTGAGTTTGATATTTGATTCCTAAAATTACAATACAGTAATTTAGAAAAAATGTAAGAATTATACATAGAAATGTAAAGTTTAAATTTCTACATATTTTTGAAAACAAAAAAATTTACATTTTGTGTGTTTATATATACATTTTGGCTTATGAAACTTGGGGCTCACACTTCATGAAATTAACACATCACATAATTGAGTTGAGTTGTATATATATATATTGTATTTCATTTAAAATCTCTCAATAATTTCTTTATACTTTAGAGGATTATTTTGGATTATCTGTGTTTTCCATGCATACTCATGCAGTAATTAACACATATAATCAGGAGTTCAGTGTATTAATTTTAAAATGTCCTGTTACAGGCATGAATGATAATTACTAAATTAATTCAAAAATAAAGTAACCTTTATTACTGTAGTTCCTTGATTCTAAGATACACTTTTTTTTTTTAAACCTTTTTTTCATTTTTCTAAAAGAGAAGTGCATTTTGGAATCAATAGTGTTTTAATTTGCTGTCCAAAACAAAAATTATTGCATACGGACTAAGTGATGCATCATGGTTAGAAATTTTTACTATACTGTTCAACAGTCATATCAGTTCAGACGAACTTCACTGGTAGCAAGCATTTAATTTAAACTATTTTTCAATGTTTAAAATATAGTATATTCTTAAAGACATTATTATGCAGCATTGAAAGAAAAGTGCAAAGTGCATTATTGTATAGCCATGTACAAAAGTGCATGGAAATAAAGTGATCAAACACATCCATGGCATTTGTATTTCTTTTCTAATTTATTCATTATTTTAAAAAGTTTACTATGATTTATTAAATATTTTTCTTTCAATAAAAAAACTTTTATAAAAATTTGACTACAAACTAATGGCACAGTATATCAGAATCAAAGAATATATTACAAAGTAATATCTATAAAATATAACTTCTGGAAATTAAACTATATTTCAGTTTTTTTTTAAATTCATAAGCCAAATTATTATCAATTTGACTTATAAATTTAAAAAAAAAAGCTGAAGTACAGTATATTATAATCTAAATTCCAGAAATACAATTAATATTCTAGAAAATAAAATTTTATTAAATAACTATTGAAATTTACCAAAACACATCCTATCCTCACAGTTCCTTTCCACAATATAGATTCATCAGTTCCTTTTTTCACAGCAAATAACAATAGAGATTTAGAATTGTTTGATCTTTCAGATATTTTTCTGCTCAAAGTCTGGCATCTGTAATTAATAAATGTAAAAAATATTTTAATGACAGCTGTAAGTATTACAAAATCTTTCTAATATCTGTATAAACACAGTATTTTGTAGTGATTTAAACCTAAATATTCTAATACTTATTTCATTCAGTTAAAATTCAGTGTATTAATACTAATTTGGTTGCAAAATAAAAGTATTTACCTTAGAAAAATACCTATATATTTCTTGGTTTTTGGACATAAACCATTTTATCAAAGCTTCATAGGAGTGTCTAATAGTAACCAATCAGATTGAATATACAGATAATGAATGGGAGAGAACTAAAGGCAAGGGAATTGTTCGTGTTTTTAGTGGTTTTGAAAAAAATTGTTATTGTAAAGAAATATATCTGTGGCATGTCTTTGGAAAATATGAAAAATCATCTCAAACTTTAGACAAAGGAAAAGCTGTTTGATGAATTTATAACTGGAATTTAGACAGCATATAACATCCTATCACATAATCTGCAGATAATCCTGCATGAAAATATAATAACTGATGTAAGAAATAATAGCAATTTAAACTATTGAGTAAATACAGGTATACCTCGCCTTACGTTGGTAATTGGTTCCAGGAGAACGAAAAACGACGTAAGTTGAATTTACTTGTCTCCGAATCTACTTGTCACTAGGCTAAACCATAAATTACCATTTCCGGTTCTGTATTTTATTTATTAATGCATTTTTAATAATATATGGTTAATAAAAATCTATTTTAAGCTTACAAACAAATAAATTTTAGTTTTTAATATAGTACAGAAAAAAGTATTCTAAATTTACAAATGCATGTACTGTAAATACAGAACATACTAGTATATATTTTAATATGATTTTATGTGCTTTAAACGTTTTTCTAGTGATATTACGACTTCAATATTTGTGGCGGACAGACGTAAAGTCGAATAAAATGACTTAAACTT